GGTCCTAATGAGGACCTAATGAGGTAGCTGTTCCTCTCTAGCTCTGGTTTTCCTGGATTTTTTAGCAGTTCTCAGCATTTCTTGGTACAAATGGAGCTTCCCTCAGTGTTGTCCCGGTGCCTCATCATTATTAGGAAAAACAAGCTACTACACAGAAACTATAAAGAAATAGAAGGTGTTTTCATGTTGTGCTTGTGGTAACAAGTGTTACATTCCCCTTCTGTCCTCCCCAGTCAAAATGGCTCATTTTCAGGATTTGGTCTATCTTCAAAATTTTGTCTCATCAATGGAGGATAGGTTTAGTAGACAAAGTAAATTGCAAAACAAACAATTCTGATTCCTTAATTTCTGAGGTTGAAACCCTGAATCTCTTAGCCTTATGACTTACTTTTATTCGCTTAAAGAGTGTATCTCAGCCAAAAAACACTGATAAAATTCAACATAAATCATGATACTTTCCTTGTTGAGTGATAAATCTGATTTTAAACTCAAATGTTGGTATTGATGCTCCTTAGGAAATTACAGTAATGTTTAAAACAGATTAAAAGAGCATTACTCATTTATAGCCTTATTACATAGACGGATAAATGCCAAAGTTAACATTACCCAAATAACTTTGATTTGGCTGTGTTGTGCACACCTCTTGCTTAATTATGGAACAAAATACTTTACTTCCTTCATGGCACTTGCTTCCTGGTATAGTTGCTGTTCAAGAAATTGTGCAACCATTCAGCGTTCCTTTATTTGCACCTTTAATGCGTGTTCCTAGTGCTCTGTTTATATTGATTGAATATGGAGTATTTTTTGTCTTTCTGAAGTACCTACCAGTATCATATTTTGGTTTGAAGATAATAAAATAATCTTCACAGCGCCCTTGTAAGGTAATGGAGACAATTAGACAGAAAAAAAAGCACATTAAGATTAAAAAACAACACCTGCAATGCTGTTAAATTTGGATTATCAAATGTCAAATTTGGATTACTGAACTAAGATATTTACGGTCTGATTTTTGCACTGTATTTTACTGCATTTTGTCTTCAGCAACTTACACAGGCATTTAGTCATCTATTTCTATCTCCTCTGGGAGTTAGGTAGGCCTGTTTCTCCCATCAGTATAATATTAGTGTGGCAGGATCAATGGAGGCCATGTTCAGCCTCACTGAAGAAATAGATGGACAGATCTCTGAATACCAACCATCCTGCACTCATTGCTAATCTAAAAGATGTTCCGATAGAGTAATGATTTTTCCCTGTAGGTCTATAGATAGGAATAAGTTAAATAAATAGTTGCCTTGACCTGTTTGCAGATTTGGTGATGTGAGAACTTTTGTTAACTGACACCAAGGCAGTGCACAAGCAGAACAGACAGGAACTTTATAAGTCTTAATCAATTGGTCTCTAGCAAGCTTCTTAAGAAAAAGAGTGATCTGTAATGGCAGTGAGGCTTTCACAAGGATATGGAAAGATCTGATTTCAGGCATTTCAGTTTTCAAGTTAATAGTCTTGGATGGTATTACATAAAAAAAAGAAAATGTTTTGGGTTTGTGTTTTGCTCAAGGAAGGAGCTATTCCTTATCAAAGAGTGAACTTTAACTTTGGCTAAAAGTTTTGGAGGATTAGAATCCAAAACAAATTTGCAACTTAACTGCAAATCCCTTCCATGACACCTAAACCAGTAAGTTTTGTCATGCCAGTTTTTCCTGTTAACTGCCCCTCACCCCCTTTTTTTATATGGTGGAAGTAGGCTTGCAGACTTAGGAAAAGGAAGAGAAACCAATTCCATCATGACTTGGAGAGAATAAAAGCAGGGCTACTGGAGCGTGCACAGGGTCAGCACTTACAAAGAGAAAGGGTTTTACTTACACCACTACTGCTGATTGGTTCCCTTATTTCTCTGATGTTCCCATGTGTTATTTACGGTTGGATTTCCCAGTCTTTATACTTAAGCATGCAGTGTGGGAGCACTGAGCACCAGGCAGAATTATATTTCTTGGGCTGTTATAGGGTGCTCCCTCTCTCATCAAACCTGTTGACTCACCAGGCTGGGTTTAGGTACATAAAGATGTTCAGGGACCTCATTTCCCACTTAGTTTTGATTTTGGATCGTTGTCTTAAAGATAGAGGGAAGACATAGTTCTTTAACATACACCCATCAGGAAAGGACGCAGCTTTGGCTGTGCAGACCTGAATTCCAGCAAACTCTGGAAGACTCTCTGCTTTTCTCAAGGCATGTTTTTATTAGAGTGGGGGATAGCACAGGTGAATCCTAGGAAGGTTTTTGGTCTATAATTGGGCAGGGAAGTCCTGCTTAGCAAAAAGCACTGCACAGCCAGGTTCTGGAGGAAATTTAATTTCCTTTGGCCAGCTTCAGAGCCCATTAAAACCACATGCTGTGCCTTACTGGTACATGTTTTGCTGCCCTCAGTATGAAGCACATTGCTTAGCATTTATCAATCAATAATTGAATGTAGATTGGCCTCCCTAGTTTCACCCAAGTCTGAACATTTTGGGGAAGTTATGGGATATTCTATATGTGCAGAATTACAGCATTTCAGATCACAGTCTAAAATTTTATGGTCTTAGATTAATTACAGAAGTTCTGACCATCTCCAATTAAACTTGGTGGCAGTAAAAGATAAATGCTATGCCCTCCTCTGTGCTTTCTAAATTCACCAGGAATTATAAGGTCCTCTAGTAGTTTTGTGGGTTGCATAAAATACTACCATGTTACAAGCTTCTGTAATAGCCAGTGGTCGCTTGGTTTCTGGCTTTGCTTCTTTATTTTAATGGATAGTACAGCAAGTTTTTTCCATATTGTAGAAGTTTTTATTGAACCACTATGATTTAGAGTTATTTATTAGCAGTTTTCCATGGCTGACTTGTCTTTTGTGTTCACCTCTTTTCTTTATGCAAGCATTGTTTGTTTTTCCTTCCTGGTGTCCACTTAATCATTGCTGCCTTCCCCCTAGCATGGTGTCAATATCCAGGTTTCCTCTTGGAGTTTCTTTTATTTGAGAAAAAAACAAGCTTAACCTCTATCAGAAACCTAGTTTTTTCGGTGACAGACTACCCCTCCACCACCTGGAGGAGTAGTTTTGCTGGTTTTGATGTTTCATTAGAGAGAAATAGCTGATTGTTTTATAAATTCCAAATTATATTCCACACTTGAAAGTCCTCTAGTTTAGTTTTACGATATCTTGTCCACAAGTGCGGTATTTCACTGGCTTACATTTATCCTCTATAGATTAAAGAGGGAACATTGTCTGTACCCAGTATTTTTTCTAGTGGACAGCCCAGTAAGATCTCAGCCTGACAGGGATTTTAGAAAACTTCAGAAATGAAAAATCTATGTATTTGTGCAAATTCTTGTATAATATAATCTCTTCTGTTCCTCTTTGTAAACCCATTCATTTGTTTTCTGTCCTTCCAGAGCTCTCTTGAATATATTTTTCTTCCTAGAGCTGTAGGAAGTACTCTTCTACAACAATTCCTAGCTTTATACTGGCTTTGTGCATTGCTATAAAGGTCTTACATTACATATTCTTTTCCTGAGTGACAACATTGAAGGGAAGGTGGTGGGGTTTTTTTCCATTCACTTCTATCTTTAAATTCCGATAGTCAACTATGCTTTTTCTCAGTTTCAAAGTTTTTATCATCTTCATCATAAATGATCTGTGACTTTTTGTCCTTGTTTTCACACCTTGAGAAAAATGTACTTAACCACTGCAATAAGGTGATCTTTTCTTAATTTGAGCTATGCTCCTGGCATTTGGATTACAGATAGCCTCCTCACAGGGCTATCTGAGATGTGCTTACTGATCACACCACTGGATGTCCTTCCTAGATTTTGAGGAACTCACTGTAGGTGCTACTGTGTTCCTGAGACCTGGCATGGTGGAACCATGGCCCTTGTTGCCTAGGGTGAACGCAACGGTTGCACTTTTGATTTTCATCCAAGTGCTGGTGACTCTGTGACTCATCCACGATGGAAAACCACTTAACATGACCTCTGGCTCATCCAGATCTTTTCTTCCGAGAATGTTTGTTGTGTGCTTTGCATCTGATTTCCTAGTATGAGTCAGTAAACTTAGTATAGGTGTGTGCTGGCGTAATTTTTAGAAGAATTAGTTTGTGTCTCTTGCTTATATTGCCATTTTTTGTTGTTGTATGGTAAAGCTCATAAGTCCCTCTCTTCACACTGGTCTTTTTCAGACAGTAAGCAAAGCTGTGAGTATTTTTGTTGTTACAGAGGCAAATACCATTGCCAGAGTATCTGCTATTAGCTGGGTTTTTAAATTATTTTTTTTACCCCCAGAATTTCTGTCTTTGAACATGTTCTACATTCAACTCAATAGCATTCACGCACATTTAAAGTCAAGAATGTATTTCAGAGCTTTCCTCAACTATGATAAGCCTCTGCCATTACCTGAGGCTTGTGTACTACTGCTTGTATCAAATATGACATTCCCCCCTCCCCAAAAATTTTAAAAATTGGATTTGAATTCACAGACTCCTTGAAAGCAATCTTACTGAGAATACATCATAATCCAAAACCATAAAAATGCCTAAGAAAACAGGAAGCTACTTGCCAGAATCATAGATACATTTTCTGTGTGATACCTCACAAATATTACCCCTATGATCAGTCAATATTGATGAAGGAACTGTTGGGCTCTTTGACTCTTTTCACATTGCCTGAGACTCTCATGTCTACAGTGCTGCATAAATGATTACAGTCCAGTCTTCTGTGCTTTGTGTTTGCTAGTTAGCACTTTTGCCAAATACTGAACTATTGCAGGACTTATTGATAAAGAGGTAGATACTTAGGCTTTAATTTGAGGGATTAACTTTACTAGCAGTAAGTTTTTTTGAACTAGTATAATTTTTAAATCAGAAGAATTTATACTGGGAGTAGTTATCTTTCTTTTTACTTATTATATGTATTGGACTACTATAATAGCCATAGGTTGTTCATATCTGTTTATGTTTTTTCTTCACAGCGTTATTCAACCTTATACCAGTGGGACTTCGAGTTGTTGCTATCCAGGGTGTAAAGACTGGGTTGTATATAGCCCTAAATGGAGAAGGTTTCCTCTACACATCAGTAAGTACCTTTCTGAAGTCTCTTTAAGAGGTGCAGCTGAAGTTGAAATTTACAAGGGGATGAGATGCCTTTTCACTTCTAACAAGTTCTATAATGTCTATATATGTATGCATGCCCTTGTGTATCCATGTATGTATGCTATAAGTGGGATACAGTAGAAATTACTGTGTACTCTAGATTAAAGTCTATGTTTTACCAGTCCTAAACCCCCTCTTTTTCTTGCAGGCTATACTGGTAGTACACAACAAACAACCAATATTTTTACTTTCAAATAAATTATCAAGAATTATTTAAATAAAGACCTGCGTTTGTTTTCTTAGTGACTTGTTGATCAGCATCCAAAAGTTTCTCCAACAGTTATTTTTATTAATAAGATGTACAGTTGTAATTTCTGTCTAAAATTTCGTTAACAGCCTTACAGTTTATGACCATAATCTTGTAATTGTATGCATAGCATTGTAGATTTTTTTAATGTCAGATATTTGAAATATAAAGAGCTCTGTGAGGGACTATATCTTTGTAGTATGATCGAAGTTTAAGAAAAAATCTTTTGAGTCACAAACGGGACTGCTGGATAAAGTGATCAGAAAGTCCTCAGATTGTTTAAGATATTCCAAATGATTTAATGCTATTCACTCAGTGTGTTGTTGTGAATATAAAAATCCTCAGTTTTGTGTAAATTAAGTGTCTTAACCTCCTTTGAAAGGCAAACCGAGTTTAATATGAACAGGCAGTTCTGTCAGGTATTAACAAGATGTCTTAAAGGATTTTTCATTACTATATTTTTATTACCATCTGTGTTGAATTTATTTACATAGTGATTTTCCCATTTTTTACGTCACATCGTTCCTAATTCTCTACTGAGCTACAATAGACTGCTTTGTTTTCAATGTCCATTGAAAGGAAACTGGACAGATAAAGCTTCTGATGCCCCGAGGGAAAGTATTCTGTTTCAAATATACTATTGTCTTCGAAGAGCTAATTAGGAAGAAAAAAAAGGAGTCAGTCTTGAATGTCAATGTCAAGACAAAGGGAAAATTATTTATTGTAAAATGTCTGCTAGAAACTCCAGCAGTATGATCTAAAACATTTCTATTTTTCTTTTCAAAATACAAAATTCTGTCACAGGAAAACATATAGTATTTGCTGTCAGAAGGAAGAAAGCTAGAAGAAAAAATAGGTGACTTCCCAGTTCTATCACTTCATGTGGGGAGTTCATTTCAGTGTGATGGCACGAACAGTAGTTTTTTTAATATCTTGGTATTTTCAAGAGTACATTCTTGCCCAGTGCTGTTTCTGAAGTGGGTTCTCAGTGCTTCAGAAAGAAACACAAATTTCAGAAAATTTACCAGTTTCCTGATGGGTAATTCTGCACAGGCAGGGACTCTACATGAATAAATTTTGGCAGCCACCATGTTTATGTATTATTCTGGAAATGGTCCGAGTTAAATGAATGGTGTCATCTGGGGAAGGGAAAGGAATGGAAAGTATATGGCAAGATAAGAGATGGCTGGATCCAAACTTTGAATGGATGTAAACCTGACCCTTAGAACATCTTCAAGCTATTTTTGTCACGCCAATGGAAATTTTAATTGCTTTTTTCCTATGTGTTCTTTTTGAGCAACAAAGATTACTTAGGTTGTCATCAGTCTCACAGATAATGTATAAGGAAAATGTCATTCATGTGTTTATTGTTTTGCAGGATTGTATATTCTTCATTGCTACTGATGGAAAGATTTTTTTATTTGATGACTTAATATATCCCTGTAGTAATTGGCAACTTGTTAAATACTTCGTAATTCTGTTCCGTGAATGTTATTATGTTTGACTGTATTTACTTTAAATTTCTTGGGAGAGTGTCTCAATCTGTTGCTTTACCTTGTGCGAGGGGAGGAAATGAATGGGTTTGGAATTTACTGCTTACTCTTCCTCACATGAAGAATAAATGATGAGTGTGGCCTGCTGAGTGACAAAAAGAAACACACACCATAAAACTCATTGGAAGCCTTTAGTTTTGGTACGTCTAAAAAAATATTTTCAAGTTACACTTTTCTCAAGCTGAAAAGTAGCACTATTTGGTAATCTGATGCAAAATAGATTAAAGGTGGTGATTCAGAACATCAGTGCTGTAATGCAGGCTTGATTGTTTCATATTAATGTATTGAAAATATTGACAATACTTTTTTGTCTTAGCAACTGCCTGCTTTCAGCTTGGAGACTAATGCATTTGAAAATGAGAAGACAAAGCATCAGAGAGAAGTCTGCCTTCTCCCTGAGGATCAAGATTAAGAAATACTGCATGCAGAATATTTTCAACACTGTCTTTTGTAGAAAAATATTTTTAAACAATCCCTTTCTGTTACTGTCTTGTTGGTGTCTTTTTTTATTCACTCTTTGTTACGGTTGTTTGTCTGTTGCACCTAAATGCAGAAATTGTGTATTACATGTCATAGATGTTTTCCCCTTAGCAATTCAGGGGAGAATGGGGGGAAAATAAGTTTTCAAAGTTTCATCTGCCAACTGTCATTGAAAAACAAAGTGCCACATAATGGGAATGCTAGCTAAAATTTACATATATTTAAGAATATTAACAATTTCTGATTTTTCTTCTTTTTTAAAAAAGAATGCATTGTATGCTAACTTGCATTTATAGTCTAAATTGAAATTGAAGTCCTGCTTAGTTCATCTCTGCAATGTACCTCAGTGTTCCTATTTCCATTCACAGTGTATGAAACCCATAGTCTGTGAGAATATCCTGTGTTAATGCCTCTCTTCAGAGCCAGAAGGCTCTGAGTCAGTTATTTTTATTGTAAGCTTTGCGTAGTGTTGACTAATTAAGCAACAGCACTGACAGGAGAGGAATTATGTGTGATATTGCTTTCTCTGATATGAAGTATTCATTCAGTTAAGAGGGAAATTAGGTAGTGACAGACCAGTTTTACATATAGATTATCAAATACAGAATTGCATTGTTTTCTTGCTTTGTGTTTTTGTTTGTTTGTTTGGGGTTTTTTGTTTTCTTTTGTTGTTTGGTTTTGGGTTGGTTTTTAAAATTTTTTAATAGTTATTTACATCAGTTTGGGAGTCTTTTGGGTTATTTCTTATTTTATTTGGTTTTGGGTTGGTTTTTTAAATTTTTTAATAGTTATTTACATCAGTGTGGGAGTCTTTTGGGTTATTTCTTATTTTATTCTGCCATATTTATGACTTTTTAACTAAATCACAGAATCAGAACTAGAAAAAAGTGCTAAAGTATCATACAAAGGCATGATGGCCATTCTTAGAACAGAAATAGGACAGTAAATTGTGTAGGAAAGTCAGTCTCAAGAGCTTTTCATACTTATTTTGCCTGCTGTGGTAGCTGAGATATGTGTTCTGGCCTTTGGGGACTGATCAAGTCAGGGTTCCTAACACACAGCATCAAAAGCTTGTCAAATAAAGGAGAAGCAAAATCTTTGGAGTTTGTAAGGCTTTGCAGGATTCCTGAGAGAAAATACTTTTCAAAAATTATAACCCTACTTTTCAATACGTCTAAGGTAAGTATTGCAATGCCTTGATTCATTGTTTTCTGTCCTATAAACTATGAAGACAGGAGCCTTTTCATGTTCATTTTTTTTCCTTGCACTTTTAAGAGTTAGCCCACTTAAAGACTATCCATTAAGATCACCTTTTTAAAGTTTGGTTTTATTCCATCCAACTTTATTTCTATGTGTGTATATATGCCTATACTTGTATATGCATATCTATATTTATCAACTTATAATTAGGATATCTTTATTTAGTGACAGCTTCCTAATTTTACATGTACATTAATGAGCAATGAGAATTATAAAAATGAATTGAGATTTATTTTAGATGGATTAATGAACTGTGAACAAATCAGAATTTATGACTGACTTCATCACTGTGAAAGCTAGTAGGAGGAGCTAGATTTTTCCACAGAGAACCATCTCACTTACTAGCAAGATTTTTAACATAGTATTTATAGACTTTATATATTAAAATTGAAAAATATACATTACTCATAGGTCTCCTTTGGAAAGGGCGGGCAAGATAAGGTTTTATTTCCAGGGTTGATCCTCTCAAAATCAAAAGGAGAGGAACTGACTCCATGTACCGAAAAAAAACCAAGCACGTGTCCATGGGAAACAGATACTGTCTGCAGCAGGAAGATGGCAGTGCAATATCTGGCAGAAGCTTTTGTTGGTTTTGATGTTAATTTTTATCAACTCACTTTGCTAAAGGTTCATTAGTTCAATTTTCAGGGGGCCTGCAGCTTCTTCTTTTGCTCTAGGATTTTCTGCTAGCATAACAGGATGAACTCAGAGGTAAAACTTAGAATATTATTCCATTTTATTATTTCTGTTTTATTAAGGTGAGGATATGAGAGTAATCTTGGATTATATCCATGGAATTCTCTCAAGAATTACTCAATGTGTCTGGGATGGTTTTTCATCCTTGGACCAATTTAGCAGGGTGTTATCAACATTTGGTGTCTACCAGAGTAAGAAAAAAAGAAAAACTAAAATGTAGAAAGGAAAAAATTCCTTACTCTATAACACAGTTGCTTGTGCCTTCTTGGTGTTTCCTTTTTAATAATTTCTTATGCTAGTTTTCATGGAGACCTGAGATGTGGAAAAAAAACAGAAAGGGAGGATTACACCTGTGGGATTGTCAGCAACAGATACTAAAGTCATAGCAATCCACTTCATGGATTCTTAGTAAAGCTGGTGAACTACAGAGATGCTTTAAAAGATGACTGAGCATGCAGGGCAAGTTCTGAACTGCCTGGTCACCTCTTCCAGTGGGGTGCCTGGCTGGAGTTGTTTTCCACGGCTTCAGAGTTCCTCTTCTGAGTGACAGTGAGAACCTCACTGGGAAGGTATAGAGAGTAATTGAGACATGGCTGCCTTTCCAGGAGGTCCCACCAACTTTATAAAAAGTATTTCAGAATCAGGGATGGCACACACTACTCGCTTTACAGAAGAGTCTTCTTGAAA